GTGGTGCGGTCGAGTGATGCGTGAGTGGATTGCGTGGTGGGTGCGTGCGTGGTGCTGTGCCGTGAATGTTTGCGTTGAGAATGCGTGAGTGGGGCGTGGTGTGTGGCGGGGGTGAATGGAGTGATGTGGATGTGTGAAGGTGTGTGCTGTGCGTGCTGTGATGGGTGGTGGGTGCGTTGCTGTGTCGTGCTGCACTGGTACAGGAGTGGGTGCTGTGAGTGCGTGCGATGAATTGGGTGAGTGCATGTAGTGACGTGGTGTGTGAATGGGTGAGTGGATGCGTGAGTGGGTGCGTGCGTGCGTGGGTGAATGGGTGAGTGGGTGCGTGAGTGGGTGCGTGCGTGCGTGCGTGAATGGGTGAGTGGATGTGTGAGTGGGTGCGTGCGTGCGTGCGTGCGTGAATGGGTGAGTGGATGCGTGAGTTGGTGCGTGCGTGCGTGCGTGAATGGGTGAGTGGATGCGTGAGTGGGTGCGTGCGTGCGTGCGTGAATGGGTGAGTGGGTGCGTGAGTGGGTGCGTGCGTGCGTGCGTGCGTGCCCGGTGCGATGGGAGCTTCTGCCCTGCAGTTCACCTAACACTTTAAAGTTTGGGGTTGGGGGAGGCATGGGGGAAACGAGATTAGTCTTGAAATTAACTTTTTCTCGTAGTCTGGAGTATACTCTATACATTGCGTCTGAGAAAGACTTGTTTCCGTCAATGGTCTGTGAGAAATCGTTGAAAAAAAGGAGACAGTTGTTTCTGACTGTTGACCATTTCTTTGCAATGATATATAGGAAAGCAGGTAGAAGTGAATGCACTGTCGACGTGTCAAATGACTGTGATGCGAGTAGAGGTGGATGATGTGACTGTGACGGGTGACGCTGTGATGTTAATGTTGGCTTCATGTGTGTGTGTTACAGCATCATCGCGCTGTGATGTTAACGTTGGCTTCATGTGTGTGTGTTACAGCATCATCGCGCTGTGATGTTAATGTTGGCTTCATGTGTGTGTTACAGCATCATCGCGCTGTGATGTTAATGTTGGCTTCATGTGTGTGTTACAGCATCATCGCGCTGTGATGTTAACATTGGCTTCATGTGTGTGTTAGAGCATCATCGCGCTGTGATGTTAATGTTGGCTTCATGTGTGTGTTACAGCATCATCGCGCTGTGATGTTAACATTGGCTTCATGGGTGTGTGTTGCAGCATCATCGTGCTGTGATGTTAACGTTGGCTTCATGTGTGTGTTACAGCATCATCGTGCTGTGATGTTAATGTTGGCTTCATGGGTGTGTGTTACAGCATCATCACGCTGTGATGTTAATGTTGGCTTCATGTGTGTGTGTTACAGCATCATCGCACTGTGATGTTAATGTTGGCTTCATGTGTGTGTTACAGCATCATCGCGCTGTGATGTTAATGTTGGCTTC